CGAAAAGAAAATATATATCAGTGATTGGTTGGGGGGAGGGGGGCAAAATACTGTTTGCTTACTGTTGAAAATTACCTAGGGCCAGCTCTGACTAGAGGCACTCCCAAGTGGCCAGCTTCTGGTCAAAGGACATTTAATATAATGCCAAGTTTTAAAATCGTGTGTTTTTAAAATACATTTTCAACTGTACCCTTGGCTTGCTTCTGATATGCTAAATAAGCAGCCTCCTAATATCAGTTGTAAAGGAGTGGTAGAGTTCTGTAGATTCAGTGTATAGTTCTAACAGAAAGATGTTAGTGTTTTGCAATCTGACTCAACTAAAGCATTTTCTATGTAAGCATTTGTTTGAATTGCATTGGTTTATTTTGGAAAACCTTAGTCACAAGCTGAAAGTATGCATGTTGAATGCAAATGCAACAGGAAACGTATTCAAAACACTGCAATCCCACAGCTCTGAGATTTTTTTCTGTTTCAATAGATGAGGCTTCTAGCGGTTGCTACTGAAGCTACTTTTGAAACAGATACAAACTTAATTGTCTGGACTTGGTCACTAGAAGAAAACAAGATATCTGTTTCGTGAAGAGCTTTTATTACAGATATATCTGGAACAAACATAACAGAATTTATCTTAGTGGTGGAAACTTTTTTCTGAGGCTGTATTTCCTCAGTGGATGGGGATAGTCTGATAGATGCCAGAGAACATGAATCTCTCTGGTGAAGCTTGAGATTAAAATGAGTGAGTTAAGTCTTTCTATTTATTCCTTCTTTCCTTTCTCCTGCCCTAGCCCACTGATTGTTGGGAAATTGCTGTGCCTGTACATCTGCGCTGATCATTTTCAGAAAGGTTTTAAAAATTAATCTAAGGTTAAGGGTTGCCCACCATGATCTGAAAATATTGAACTCTACTACTTAGTCAGCTGCTTTAGTTTCTTTACGGTGTATTGTGAAGTTTGTGTTGTTTTAATTGTAATCACTGTGGATGCATTCTTGGGGGAATAAAAATCTTCAGATACAAAAACAGACTTTTCAAGAAGTTGAGTATAAGTGGCAAATTTAGCTCTTGCGATTTGACCATTTTTCTGACTATAACTGATAACTAACTGAGAAGCACATAACATATACTTGCAATTTTTCTAACATATTAATAATCTCTACCTGTTTCTTAATTTTAACAATCCCTCAAGGCAGCAACCACACATCCATTGAACATACAGCCTTTTCACTTTTTTTCAGGAAAATAATACTCCCAGTTTAAGATTTATCTTCATTAATAAATTATTTGCCAAAGATTTAAGAGATCTCTTTGAGGGTTGGACAACATCAGTGCATCCAGAAGACAGTTTTCTGCCCTTGGCTCTTCCACAGTCTTTTAAATTGCCCAAACAAATTAAACTTGGTGTGTTTTTAAACATGTATGAAAAGTGGTGCTTTTTAAGCTAATGAAATTCCTGTAGCACATTGAAAAGGTGAATTGGAAGCTTTCAGAAAATGCAGCTTATCTTTTCATTTTTGCTAGAAAAATGCTGATCTGAGGAGTCTAGTAGTTCAAGGGCACTACAAACATGTGGCTACAGCCACAGTTTGTTTATAATTGGTGCATATAAACTGGTTTCAAGACATAGAATTCATTTTGTAGCCTTTGTAGCAGCTGGCAGAGATCTCCCAGTTCTTGTTATTTCATACTCTTTTTCTGATTATTCACATACATTTCATTTCAGCAACCCTTTTAAGCATCTAATATAAGGCCTACATACCTTGGAAGCACTAAATCCTCTAATATTAGAAGCTAAGCAGGGTCAGTTCTAATTGTATTTGGACTGAAGACCACCAATGACTGCCAGGTATTGTATATTTCAGAAGAAGGAACTAGCAAAACTACATCTAAATATTTCTTATCTCTGAAAAAACCCTATCAACTCAATGGGGCCAACATAGGTCAGCTGATGACTTGAAGGCACGTGCATATGCGCGCACACACACACATACACAGAGGCATACTATTCCAGTCAGTCTGGAACAATTTCTTTGAAATTTGGCAAAAACAAAAAACAAGAAAGAGAAAGTGTTTTTAGAATAACACTTGCTAGTATACCAAGTAGGATGAGAGATTCATTTCATGAAGATTCTCATATAAACACAGGTGCTCATACTAGCACTTTGCTTCTTAGTAAGTACTTTGAAGTAGCTGTTTTGGATAAAGGATTGCCTGGAGGAAAGCATAATCTAGCCTTCATAGCACAACACAGACTAAAATATCACTTGATGACAAGAGAGACTAAGTGATTTTATTCCAGTTGATGAATCATCTCAAAATTTATTATGAGGAAAGAACGCAGGCATTTTATTAATCTTGAAATGAATGTGTAACTCAGTGAAAGATGGCCAAACTTTTTCATCATTCTTAATTTTGTTAGCTCAGACATGGGGGGAGTGGGGAAGCAGGAAGAAAGTTCTTAATTTTCATTGCAATGTGTAATTCTACTGTTAATCAGTTTATCACGTATAGCTTACAACCAGTTTTGCAGGTATAGGTTGAGCATCAATGAATTCAAAATTTTCCAAAATCCAAAATTACCCACATGACATGGGGTTAGCTTTGCTTCTGATTGTTTAGTATGCGCAAACTTTGTTTCATTTACAAAATTATTTAAAAATATTGTGTATAAAATTACTTTCATGCTAGACTATATAAATGAATTTTGAGTTTAGACTTTGGTGTAATCTCCAAGATATCTCATTATGTACAGTGTATGGAAATACTCCAAAATCTGGGGGGAAATGAAATTCATTTTCCCCCATGAAAGAAGATAAAACTCTGAATAAAAGGCCTCTTTGAGCTCTCTAGTGTAACTTTGTGATCATATAGTTGTGCTAGAGAACATAGAGATTCCTAGAAAGGTGTTCTGGGGTATGTGCCCTTAAGAGAAAAAAAGTTTGAGATTTAGTAATAATGATAATAATAAGTTTATTCTTATATCCCACCTCCATTTCCCTGAAGGGACTCGGTGTGGCTTACATGGGGACCAAGCACAATATAAACAAAGGTTACAAATAACACAGTTATAAACATATAACAGTAAAATATATTAAAACAGTAAAATCAATGAAATGTAAAACCTAAACCAGACATCAAACAACCAGTAGCCAAAAAAAGTGGGCATATGCAGATTTAAGACTAATAGGGCAGGACAAGGATTTAAGCAAATACAAAACTGTAGGGCAGGGCCTGGGAATAAAGTGCTGGAGAGCCAACCAAAAGATTAGGACTAGGCAGACTTAGCTAAACCATTATTCAAAGGCACATTGAAACATCCAAATCTTAAAGTCTTTCCAGAAGATGGACAGAGTGGGGGATAATCTCATCTCCCTGGGGAGAGAGTTCCAGAGCCGGGGGGGGGGGCATGGCCGAGAAGGCCCTCTTGTCCCTACCAACCATTCTTGTGATGGAGGTGGGAGCGAGAGAAGGGTCTGCCCAGCAGATCTTAGCACTTGCTCCAGTTCATAGAGGGAGATATGGTTGCAAAGATAAGCAACCCAAGCTGCACTTTGAATTGGGCCTGGAAACCTATTGGCAGCCAGCGGAGCTGCTTAAGTAGAAGCATCGTGCCCTCCCTGTAACTTGCTCCAGTTAACAACCTGACTGCCAGCCTTACTGCACAAGATGCAGTTTCCAACCATCTTCAAAGGCAGCCCCACGTGGAGTGCATTGGTGTAATCCAATCTAGATATAACCAAGGCATGGACCATCATGGCCAAGTCATATTTCTATCATTTTCCCCAAATAAATTCTGCTTGAATCAGCTTAGTACACTCATTTTTCTTCTCTTTTGTCCACCTTCAATCAACTTAACAAACTGTCAGAAATGCTGATAGCTAGAGTCCAAAATGCCTAGAGGATCAACAGTTGGGAACTATTAATCCTGACTAATTAAATATAGAACACACATTTTGCCCCAATCTGCTTATGGCTATGCATCTATGCATCACCTAAGGCATTCTCTGCTTTTAAGCTATGTACCTAAAGACTCAGCACAAAAAGGAATAGGGGACAAAGTGTATGTGTTGCAGGTAAGAACAAACTTAGGCATCTGTTCTTAAAGTTACAAAGATATTAACAAGTATTTGAAGATTTCAGAACAACTATATTGCCTGAAAATTTTAGATGAAAAATCTTGCCTTTTTCTGGCTAATATTTTATTGCAAATAGATGTGTTAATGATGTATTTTGTAATGCCAGTGGTATGCAATATAAAGTACTGTTAAATATGGAGCAGTAAAATATTAGAAAACATCCCTGACAAAGATATACACAGTAAGAAAGGGAAATATAATGGTAGGAAGGAAGTATGGTAATAAAAATACAGGAAGAAATAGTCCAGATATACATACTTTGAATGCAGAGAGTGGTAAAGATAAAATTGCTTACTATGTATATGTAAACTATAGAATTACTGTACTGGACCTGGAAGAACATTAATATTTCCCAGATAGTTTAATTTGTTTGATTTGTGCTTACCATGTGAAAAGCAGTTAGAACCTAACTGGCTAGAATTCCTTCCAGACAAAGTAGGAAGAATTGAGGCCTTTCCGGAATATACTTCTAGTCAATGAAATTTGTCTCTTCAGTGTTGTCTTTATTTACCCCATTCTACTAATCTCCCTTTTCAATGGGAGAGAAATGAAAGGGTTCTGAAAGAGTGAAAGAGAAGACCAAAACAATTGAAATCCTTACCCATTAAGGGTAATGAAGCTCTGAAGCATCTTAAGTTCTCAATTTATCTTGCGATAAGTGACATGGAATCAATTTGTGTCTTGATTGTATAATCATTTTAACCCCACCCCTTTTAAAAATAGTTGAAGAAGCCTTGGTTCTGAAGTATTTGAATATTAAAGTAACTTAGTTTTTGTTCTTTTTTCTTTTCTGTAGTACAGTATCTGAAGATATTTTTTTTTACAAATTTTATCTTGGAAATTAGTTTATTCATTATGTTTAATTTTAGGAAACAGTGCTCTTGCAGAACATTCTGAAAATGTGCATATTTCAGGAGTCTCAACTGGTAAGTCTTTTTTTGTAATGTTTAAATTTCATGCATGACTTAAATAGTAAATATTGAAAGCCACCTGGTATCTTATGAAGAGATATTTGGCTATAAAAATTATTACTGCTTTTTGCAGCATGTAATAAGGAGTGAAGCAACTGGAACATGGAAGAATTTTCATAAGATAAATTCGATACCTCCATGCTTGTGAACAGATTATTCTGTTCAAAATGTTTAATTATTTTCCATACAAACATTAAAGAGAAAGGGTAGCCTAAGCTGATTTTTCCTAAAACAAAGTTCTGTAACATGAAATTTAGAGAAAAAATATTTTAAAACGAATGTTACTGTTAATAATAAAATGCATCCATTACACCTTTTGTTTTATGAGACTTGAAGCAGCCTCTGGAACATCTTATTTCCCAATTCTCATACTTGAAGTATTGATGCAAAAGGAATGGAATACTTGCCGTGTTCTAAAGTTAGACTCTCCCACTTGTCACTGAGGGAAAACTGAAGAAATTCCTAAACTCCTTTTAGTTCTTCTTAAGGGCCAAAGCTCTCCAAAGGAGGTGTCCACAATAGAATTCCTTACTGTAATAAAATAGCAAGTAATCGCATGAGTAAACACAAACAATAATAAAATCTAAATTCGATAATACTAAAATGTAATTCAAAACTCCAGTAATAAAACGCAAGAACAATCTAATAAAACTCAGTGAGGAAAACTACAAAAAAGGGGTCTTCAGAGTTTTCTCCAAAACCTGAATTGGTGAGATTTGGGAGATCCTTGGTGGGTAGCTTTTTCCAGCTACATGGGGTCACAACAAAATATTGCCAGCCTAACTATCCTCAAAGACACAAAGAGAGTACAAGTACTACAGACAAACAGATTGGGCAAAAATTGTCCTTCATATCTATGCCTTTTCAGATAATCTAATGTGATGGACTTACAGTTTATTTGTTGTTGTTGTTGCTCTGTTGCTCCCATTGTCCACAGTAATTTGGAAACACATCAGGCTGAAAGCCAATGGCTTGTCGACCAGACCTGCAGTAGTACTTCAAGTAATTTGTTTCCAAACCCATTTAAGGCTTTAAAGCAGGGAAGTCCCTCAAAATGTTTTTAAATTACAGCTCCCACAATCTCTTACCATTGGCTATGTTGAATAGAGCTGAGAGAAAACACATGCCAAAAACATTTGGATGGCCATCTGGCCATCACTGCTTCCAAGTAATACAACAGTATAGCATCAGTGTCATATTATCAAACTGCCGTGGCCCCAAAAACAATTGCAGGCCACATTTGCTCCAGCTGAAATTCTGTAATGTTTGGATTAAGTTGGCCCCCCATCCAATCCATTACCGTTCAGAGGCCCCAATTTAGAACCAAAGCACCTTCCTTGTACAGGGGTGATGGCATCAAACCCTAAAACTCTGGACAACCTCTTCCAACAGTTTCATGTATATATGAAATGGAACACACAAGGCAAGTGCTAGGAAGCCAAGAGACCAGAACCACTTTATTGTTTTGCCTCCCTAGCAAAAGAGTGCCTCCAAGTCCTACCTCAGCAAGTCAGCCCAGAAAGATACTATGGTACACATACTCCCTTGGCCATTGTCTTTATTTTGTTATTTCTAAAAAATTGTTCTATCTCTTGCTTTTCATTTACTGAATTTCCTTTGTTTGATCATCAGCTTGTTTGTTTTGCAATTGTTCATAATCCACCTCCTCCTGATTCTGTTAGTTGCTCTTTTCAAGAGCTTTGTTCTGTTAATTCTGAGGCCTTTTGGCAAGCATTGCTCTCTTCTTTGTCTTCCTTTTATTCTGTTGGTTCCTTGGATTCATCTGTTTTTTTACTCAACCTAGATTTATTTATTTTTTATTTTTGCCCCCTTTTTCAACACGCATCTTCACTTGACCCATCTTCTCTTTATGATCATCCCACTATTTCACTGCTGCCTTTCCTTTCAAAAAATTTGGAACAAGTTGCTTATGTATGTTGCCTTGTCTTTCTTTCTCATATTTCTGTAACTGATCCCTTTCAATCTGGATTTTGCTCTTTGCACTCTATGGACGCAACTTTTACAAAAATCACAGATAGTCTCCTTCAGGCTTTGTCAAAAATTCAGTTCCTAGTCTTCTTGATCAGTCTGCAGCTTTTGACACAGTTGATCATGTTCTTTTGTTGGCTTCATTTCATGACCTAGGGTTTACTGATTCATTCCTTAGCTGGTTCACATCTTGTCTGTCAGGTCAAACATGTCTTTCAGGTGTTTCAATGTGCTTAGTTATCTAAAATGTATCATGGCAAGGACAGAACTACTTATTTTTGCTCCAAAAATAACTTTAGAAGATGCATTTTTCATCACTGATAATCCCCATGTATCCTGGGAAGGAAGTTTTTTTTTTTTTTACTCTTTGTCTTTTGTTCCTCACATTGTCATGTCATTTTTTCTTCATGTCATTGTCAAAATCAGGGCTTTTCTTTCTTTTTCTTCTACTAAGACTTTAATATATGTCCTGGTCATTTCCCATCTTGCTTATTGTAATCTTTTTGACTGCTTTACCATTATCTCACTTTAGTCCTCTGGTTTCAATTGAACATGCTGCGCTAAGATTCCTTATTTAGTCTGTCATTTGGATCATGTCACCCCTTCTTTTCATATCTCTTCATTGGTTACCCGTTTTTTCTGGGATTCAGTACAAGCTTCTTTTTTAACGTTCAAGGACCTACACAACCTAGTTCCCTCATATTTCAGCCTTTATTTTACTGGTCAATATCTGTATTCTAGGAATTCTACGATTTTACTCTTCCTTGACTCGGCTTCATCCTTTTTCATTCAGTTCATGCTCTTGGATTGCCTCATTTTTAAATCTCAATGTAAAATGTTCTTTTTTCAAAGACAATTTTAGTTTAATATTGTTTATTAGTTTAATATTGTATAGTACTTTGATTACCTGTATTGATCAGTTTGATTTATAGTGTGTTTTTGTGTGTTTTACCTGGACCTTTTGTTTTACTATTGTATTGTATAGTGTTGCATTTTGTTTTTCTTTTCTTCCCTCTGTGTGTGTGTGTATACATACATACATACATACATACATACATGGTTTTTTAGATTGTATGTCTTTGGTAGGCCCCACTATTTATGGTTGTTTCATTTGTAAAGTCCCATGCACTTCGATACACTGGGTTTTGTGGGCAATTTGATATATAGAAATGACATATATCCCAGAGTTATTTGGATGAGAAACCTGCAAGACTTTCGACAAAGGGTTGCAGGGGTTAGGAACTGAATATGAATGAAAGATAGATTCAGGTTTTTCTGTTCAGGTTTTTTACTTAGTTCAAAATCCCAGAGCCTTTAAATATTTCATCCAGCGAAATGCTATCAATGGATGCCTCAACATGATCTTGATAGCTGTTTTTAACAGAGAGCAGGACTCAGGAGAAGAGATTTTAACTAAAATATCCAAGGTCCTTCCTACCTGTGGGCTTGTAAATGAGTACCAGTATCTGAAATTTGAAGTTTTTAAGAACTACTAGATATACTCACATATAATTTTATCTCGTGTATAGTTCAAGGGCAGGTTTTGTGCCCAAAATTATGGATTTTGATATGACCTATGGATTTGTTGAGGGTCAGTCCATGGGGAATGGAAAGCTCCAGTGCCATCTCAAGGGTGCAGCCACCCTGACTGCTGCCACTGCTGCTATCATTTACTTTCCCATGCATTTAAAAGGTCACAAGCAGTGCCGCAGTGGAGAGAGTGGATGTCAGTGCTTCTTAAAGGTCTCCTGGCATGAATTAAGCTTTTGCTTTTAGCCATCCTATTCAAAGAAGGGGATGGTTTCTTTTTTATATGTATAAAAGTTAAGATACAATATTTAAACTGACTCGTTGACAAGTCTATCCAAATTTTTTTACTAAAAATTCTAGACTTATACATAGATTCATAGAATCATAGAGTTGGAAGAGACCTTGTGGGCCATCCAGTCCAACTCCCTGCCAAGAAGCAGGAAAATCACATTCAAAGCACCCCCAACAGATGGCCATCCAACCTCTGTAAAAACCTCCACCATACTCTAGACAGAGAATACCACTGCTGAACAGCTCTCACAGTCAGGAAGTTCTTCCTACTGTCCTTACTTGTAGTTGGAAGCCATTGTTCCCTGTCCTAGTCTCCAGGACAGCAGAAAACAAGCTTGCTCCCTCCTCCCTATGACTTCCCCTCACATGCATATACATGACCATTATGTCTCCACTCAGCCTTCTCTTCTGAAGGCTAAACATGCCCAGCTCTTTCAGCCGTTCCTCAGATGGCTTGTTCTCCAGAACTTTGATCATTTTAGTCTCCCTCTTCTGGACATGCATTCCAGCTTGTCAACATCTCCCTTAAATTGTGGTGCCCAAAATTAGACACAGTATTTCAGGTATGATCTGACATGAGTATGTACAGTAAATCACTCGCTCCTGTAAAAGGGTGCAAGAGTGTGATGTTCCTACCAAAATTACTCATAGCTTTAAAAATTAAATGAACAGTTTTCAGAGATAATGATTGCATGTGAATCTTAATTCTATTGTTTTCTTAGCAACTTTGTGTGTCTAGATTTGGAAGTGTGGGGTTAATGGTGATTCTATGGGTTTTAAATGATACTATTAGGTTATTTTCATATGGGTATTTTGTTATAATATTAATTATAAAATATACATACATTCCTCTATATTTAAGGGAAATGTCTGCACTTTAAAAAATCAGGATATGACTTACTGGGTTTTTTAATGGATGTCATTCGAGCATTAACTATTTGTTGAAATGTACATGATTATATTCTTTTTTTTCCTCTGGAACCTTCATTTACTGTCTTCATAACCTGAATCCAATGTAAGAGGTGTTTGAATTCTTTTATAAAAACAAATACAAAATTCTAAATTATAATGGGATAAGAGCACCACCTAATGGGTAGTTGAACAAAAACAATAAATCTTCTATAAAACGAAACTACTGCTAAATTAAGGGAAGATACTACTGCTAAATGTCTGGTGGTTGCAAGTTTTTGTATATTATCTAATTTAAACCTCTTTATTTTACATTAAATATAAATTTCAACATGATCATGTCAACAGAATTATAAAAGGATGTTTTTGATTAATTTCCACATCATATTTTCTTTACATTTTTCACTGTTCTGCCATTTGGAAGATGCATCTGATTGCATTTGTTCAATTCACTTACCAAGACTGTTACCCGTATTGCTTTCCAGGCTTCATAATGCAGTTATCAGTATACAGTCTGCATCCCAATTTTGTTTAGAACAAATGAATAAAACACTGGTAAACTTGATTAATACTTTATTTATCGTATCAGAAGCAAACCAAGGGTACAGTTGTAATGTATTTAAAAAACACAAAGTTTAAAAACCTGGCATTATATTAAATGCCCTTTGACCAGTAGCTGGCCACTTGGAGTGCCTCTGGTGTTGTTATAAGGATGTCCTCCATTGTGGCAAGGCTCAGGCTGCATTGTAATAGCTGGTCTGTGGTTTGCTCTTCTCCACACTCGCATGTAGTGGACTTCTCTTTGTGGCCCCATTTCTTAAGGTTGGCTCTTCATCTTGTGGTACCAGAGCGCATTCTGTTCAGCTCCTTCCAAGTCCTCTGTGTGCCCAGGAGAGAGTCTCTCATTCGGTATCAGACATGGCTTGAGGTCCTAGGTAGATTCATGTACTTGATTAATTACCTCGCTGACATTATTTATTATTTCTTAGTACGAGTACTTTTGACTTTGTAGAATAGTTGCTACAGTACTGATATAACCTGTTCGGCCTGGTGACTAACTGTTCCTAAGATTTCATTGTTTTGATAAATAGTTTTGTTAGTTTGCAGTATATTGTAGAAGTGTCTTGGATTTTAATTTATGTAACATCACAAATTAATCATTAACCAATAAGGAATTCATCCAAGAATAGTGAGTCCCCTCCCCTTGCAGCCAAATCCACATGGCTCAGATCTTCTTTGGACAGTTCCTCTACCCTCTTAAGTAGATTGGGAGTGTGTATGTTGGGCTGTCTTCAGTCAGCAGAGTGATCATCACTAGGCACAATCTTTCTACTAAATCTTATGAATTGTTTTGATCCTTGAAAATACCTTATATCTGATAATATAAATTTACATGTTTTGCAGCTTGTGGAGAAATTCCAGAACAAATCAAAGACCCAAGTGGGATCATCACAAGCCCAGGCTGGCCACTTGAATATCCTGTCCGACTGAATTGTAGCTGGTACATCCGAGCAAATCCTGGGGAGATCATTACAATAAGGTAATTTGATGTGTTGTCAAAGGCTTTCATGGCCAGAATCAGTAGGTTGCTGTGAGTTTTCCTGGCTGTATGACCATGTTCCTAAAGCATTATCTCCTAACGTTTTGCCCACATCTATGGCACACATCCTCAGAGGTTGTGAGATCAGACCTCACATCCTCTGAAGATGCCTGCCATAGATGTGAGTTTAAAGTTCTATATAAATCTAAATAATAATCTAAAATAGCCTGCTTTACCTATTTTCCTATTGAGAAGCTTACAGATGTTTGCCTAAATTGCACCTAGGTTTCATTTTCTTGGCTGTCACATTTTTTAACATTGCAGATCATAGCAGCATATAATTCAATCAGGATCCTAAAGCCCAAATTTCAGTGGATTTTTAAATTTAGCTTCCTTCCTATTTCTGTGCTACTAAAAAAGAGCTTTTTACAGCTGCTTACAATTCCAGAGGACATTTTAACACCCTTTGAAGCAGTTTTTTGGGATACACAGAGGTCCACGCTCCACATTTTGCTGATAGAAACAGTGTCATTGGCAGATCTTGACCATTTGAACAGTGTTAAAATTTAGAACGACATTATGTAAAATTGGCAGTGTTTCTTAACATACTGATTTCTACTATGATCTTAAATAAATGATAAGTTTACAAACGCTGTTGGCAGAATCCAAAGCATTTAATAGGTTTTCAGAAGTGTCTAAGGCCCCTTCCACACTGCCATATAATCCAGATTATGAAAGCAGACAATCCATATTGTCTGATTTGAACTGGATTATATTAGTCTACACTGTCATATAATCCAGTTCAGAGCAGATAATCTGGATTTTATATGGCAGTGTAGAAGGGGGCCTATGAGCATTGGTCACCAAATGAATTGTGTTTTCTTTTTCATTGAAAGCTGGCCTCCAATCAGTATTATCATCTGTGTCTTAAACTCAGACAGTGTTTCCTTTGTGCCACGGGAGTCTGCTTTTTTGAAAAGATCCATTTAAAATCCTTTGATGAACTTGATTCGACAGGCTTGATCCATAGGTGATCTTCTGTATGCAAAAAGTGACTTCTTTTCATGCAAGTGCAGGTTTCAGTCTCTCACTAGAATATTATTATTTTATTGTTTGTTTATTTATTTACATATTTATATTCCGCCCTTCTCACAAGGGACTCAGGGAGGATTACAATTTAACAACTTCATGTTTCTTATAATGGGTAGAAAGTCTGTATTTTAAATGGTGACTTTCAAAATCTTGTTGAATTTAATCTTTAACAAAGAAGATATAATGAAACATTTGTTTTTCAAAACAGTTTTCAAGATTTTGATGTTCAAGGATCACGGAGATGCAGTTTAGATGCTTTAACAATTGGGGCCTATAAAAACATGGAAAATTACAGAGTATGTGGGTCTTCTATTCCATCTCCATATATATCTTCCCAAGACCATGTTTGGATCAGATTTCATTCAGATGAGAGTATATCACGGAAGGGCTTCAGATTGGCTTATTTTGCAGGTAAGCTTCAAATGTAGGAATGTTACAAGTAACTGGTTTCCTTTTTCATGTAGGATAAGTTGTAGCAGTCACTTAATCCTTATATAAGAACTTAAAAAAACAAAGACCACATAGAAATGTTGCTAGCTATTATTGTTGTTGAATAAAGGGATATTTAATACATTAGGTTAATAATAATATTAATACTTTATTCATATCCCGCCCTATCTATCTCCCCAAGGAGTCTCATGGCAATTTACAACAGGTAGCAGGAAACATTCAATGCTGCGAGAGGCTGAACAAAGACAAAAATAACCAAACCCCCCCCCCAAACCCCAAAAACAAATCCACATTTACATCAAAAACAATAACACATTATACTGCAATATAACTAGTAATATTATATGTAATATATAATATACAATTATCATATTATTATATATTATTATTTTGTACTGTATTATTATACCACAATATATATAATACACTGCCAGTACATTATACTATTAGTATTATATAATGTATTAGTTAGGTTATTTGTAGGCACATTTAATACAGGGTGAGGCAGTATAACTTCCTTTTTTCAAAACTTAATAAAACCCATTGTATGAATCAGAATTTTTTTTATAATGTAGGTGCATACCTAAAGTTTTGTTTTACGTAGTTTTGAAGATCAAATTAGGTAGGTGACGTCCCCCATTCTTCATACACTGAGTAAACCGATTTCTGGCATTTGTCATGACTCTTGCCAGCATAGCAGGTGTTATGTTGGCAATTTCTTCCTGGATGTTGGTCTTCAAATCTTGTAGGGTCCTTGGACAGTTCACATGAACACGGGATTTCAAAAAACCCCATAGAAAAAGATTACAAGGGGTCAAATCTGGAGAGCGGGCCGGCCACTCCAAATCCTCTCGAAAAGTAGGCCTCAGCGACAAAAGCACGCCCCTCACTGTTCCAACGCATGATGGTGACTGAACTGTGTCAGGACAAAACTTTATACTCCCACCTCTCGAACGAGACCACTAGTGCTCCGCTACGTCTTCAACCGACTGAATGACAAGCATTTTAAAAAAGGAAGTTATGCTGCCTCACCCTGTACATTAAATTAGATATTTCTGTAAGTATCTTGAAAACATCAATACCCAATTCAGGAAAATTAATCTTAATCTCTTAATTGTTCGTTTTTAGGGAAATCCAGTGAAACAAGCTGCGACTGTAACCAGTTCCATTGTTCTAATGGGAAATGTATTCCAGAATCTTGGAAATGTAATGACATGGATGAATGTGGAGACAACTCAGATGAAGAAATATGTGTCAAAGCTGGTCCTCCAACGGCTGCTTCCTTCCAGCCGTGCGGATACAACCAGTTTCAGTGTCTGTCTCGTTTCAATGTTTACACTTGCATTCCAGAATCCTCAAAATGCGATGGGAACCTCGACTGCCTTGACTTGGGAGATGAAATAGACTGTGGTGTGCCAACATGTGGGCAGTTGCTGAAGTATTTTTATGGTACTTTCAATTCTCCTAATTATCCAGACTTTTATCCCCCAGGGAGCAATTGCACTTGGCTGATAGACACTGGGGACCACCGCAAAGTTATTTTGCGTTTCACTGACTTTAAACTTGATGGCACTGGTTATGGGGACTATGTCAAAATATATGACGGACTAGAAGAGAATCCACGCAAACTGTTGCGTGTGTTAACTGCTTTTGACTCCCATGCCCCTCTCACAGTGGTTTCTTCTTCTGGTCAAATCAGAGTGCATTTTTGTGCCGACAAGGTCAATGCTGCCAGAGGATTTAATGCTACCTATCAGGTAGATGGTTTCTGCCTGCCGTGGGAAATTCCATGCGGTGGAAACTGGGGCTGTTACACAGAACAACAGCGTTGTGATGGCTACTGGCACTGTCCAAATGGAAGGGACGAAACCAACTGCACCATGTGCCAGAAAGATGAATTTCCTTGCTCTCGGAATGGTGCTTGCTATCCACGTTCTGACCGCTGCAACTACCAAAATCATTGCCCCAATGGTTCGGATGAAAAGAATTGTTTCTTTTGCCAGCCAGGAAATTTCCACTGCAAAAACAATCGATGTGTGTTTGAAAGCTGGGTTTGTGATTCACAAGATGATTGCGGCGATGGTAGTGATGAAGAGAATTGCCCAGTTATTGTGCCAACTAGAGTAATAACTGCTGCTGTAATTGGAAGCCTTATTTGTGGGCTGCTCCTTGTCATTGCTTTGGGCTGCACGTGTAAGCTATATTCGTTGAGAATGTTTGAACGAAGGTAAATATCCTATTATAAAATCTAATAGTGTGTTGTTTCTGATTTACCTAAAGATACGATTGTGGTCCAGAGGTATAACATTATTGATGAATCCTTCATATTTTCCACTGTTGTCAAAACAGCTTATTAGTACAGTTCCCATGAAGTAATGCTAATGTCCATTAACATGGATTTCAGATACATTCAGTCTAGTCAGTGAAACCATCTGGACTTTAACCATCCCACTTTGCTGTAGAAGACTTGTAGAGAGAACCCAGTCTATACTCAGAAAATACAGCACTGTGTAAAAGATCTCTGTAAACATGAGGAGCATCTGTTCAAACATTGATATCATTTCATCTCAAGATTTACCAAACTTTTGTTAACAGATGTGAGCTGCAGCCTGAAATATACTTAAATAGGAATTATAGCCTTTGTCTTTTATCTCTGGTTAATACCATCTCCTCACTTAAAATGTTCTTTGTATCCTCTAGGTTAGGGGTCCTCAAACTAAGGCACGGGGGCCGGATACGGCCCTCCAAGGTCATTTACCCGGCCCTCACTCAGGGTCAACCTAATTCTGAAATGACTTGAAAGCACACAACAACAACAACAACAACAATCCTATCTCATCAGTCAAAAGTAGGCCCACACTTCCCATTGAAATACTAATAAGTTTATATCTGTTAATATTTTTCTTCATTTTAATTATTGTATTGTTTTAAAGTGTTTTGCCCTACAAATAAGATATGTGCAGTGTGCATAGGAATTCATTCATGCTTTTTTTTCAAATTATAATCTGGCCCTCCAACACTTTGAGGGTTTGTGACCTGGCCCTCTGTTTAAAAAGTTTGAGGACTCCTGCTCTAGGTCATGAAAAACCATAGAATCTGATTACTCAATGCTTGAAAGCTTGACACACACACACATTATTCCTATAAGACTATATGGAATTTGCTTAATAGTAATAACAACATTGCAGTATTACAAGACCCCAAGCATTGCCCCGGATAGAAGAGAGTTTGACATGGGGAAACCATTGGCTGAGCAGCAAATTTGACAAAAATGTATTATATGCCTATATAATGTCCTGTTTATTTTTGAATAGATCATTTGAGACACAACTGTCAAGGGTTGAAGCGGAGTTATTAAGAAGAGAAGCACCTCCTTCTTATGGGCAATTGATTGCTCAAGGCCTTATTCCGCCAGTGGAAGATTTCCCTGTTTGTTCACCAAATCAGGTAAACGCTTTTCTGTTAACTCACACTGGTTTCTTTAGCAATTAGGTAGGCCAGTTGCTTTCCACAGCAAATGTCTCTAAACTGCCACTCCTAGCAGACCTCACCAGTAAAACCAGTTCCTGCCCCTACTTCAAACAGCATCTGATGCTTCACTTTAAACTAGTTGTATAAAACTAGTAGTATGAAACCCCCTGGTAGCGCAGCACGCTAAACCACTGAGCTGCTGAACTTGCTTTCCCAAAAGTTGGTGGTTCGAATCCAGGGAGCAGGGTGAGCTCCTGCTATTAGGCCCAGCTTCTGCCAACCTAGCAGTTTGAAAACATGCAAATGTGAGTAGATCAAGAGGTACCGCTTCAGTGGGAAAGTAATGGCACTCTATGCAGTCATGCTGGCCATATGACCTTGGAGGTGTCTCCAGACAACGCTGACTCTTCGGCTTAGAAATGGAGATGAGCATCACCCCCTAGAGTCGGACACAACTAGACTTAATGTCAGGGGAAACCTTTACCTTTACTTTATGACACCACAGGACTTTGAAAGTGATGTATGGCCTCATTTCCAGCTATGTTAATATTTTTTTAAAAGTTTTCATTAATAGTTTTCCAATACAACTTCTTTTGAATGCCCACTTGTTCTTCATTGTAGTTGCATATGCTTGCAGAAATAGATGTTTTTCTGAAACTCCCAGCCTTCCTCCATTATCCAGCAGATTTTGGCAATTTGGTCTCCCGTTCCTCTGCCTTTTTCTTTCTTTTTTTGTACATCTGGCAACTGCTGCTCCATATATTGCTGGAGTCAACCTTGCAGGATCTTGAGCATTACCTTATTGGCTTGAGAAATAAGTGCCACTGCATCAAAATTTGAATATTCTTTAACATTTCCCTTTTTTAGTATGGAGATACAAGTTGATTTTTTCCAATCTGATGGAAAAAATCTAGTGTAACTGTCTGAATGTTAAACTAGAACTCCTAAGAAACCAGGGTTTAAATCCCATTTGAACCATGTAAACCTACCTTTCTCAGCCTTAGAGGAATGCAAAGCCATGCCTCCTGTGAATAAATCTTACTGAGAAAATCCAAATGATAGGGTTTGCATAAATCAAAGTCTACTTGAAGGAACAAAACAGCAGGAACAAAGAGAACACAGAAGATGTTACTTCAATATCTTAAGAATGATTTGTGGTACCAAAACATGGCAAAATGTAAGAGCACTCTTTCATTAAGTTCATCTTTCTTTATTGTCGGATTTAATCACACACATTTTTGTTAAAGCTTCTGACAATAATACTCTTTCTTTGTACATTTTTATTATGCCTACCCAGCCCTTCTTTCTTCCTCATCTTTTGTCTAGCACTGATAGCTTTTTTCAGCAGCATCAGTATTGAGGTGATGGAGGACTGAAGAAAGACAGGCTTCCACTGTTAAGTTGCAGCAGTGTGTCCAGAGTAAATAATGCAATAAAGCTTAAGTTTGTGTTTTACTGTAGCCAATCATATTGTAATTGTATGTGCCTGTGCACATCAGGCAGGATAAATCGCAGCACCCTTTGGAATTCCTTAATGGCATTGCATGAGTAAAATCAGGAAAAAGTGAGGAGCCTTGCTAGCTACCCCAGACTTTTCAAAACATAGATAGGATTGACCATTAAACAAGCAGTCATAAGAAAAGTGGAAGCTAGAAAGTAATCATGTACAAGCCTTATCTGTCATGGTTGTTTCATTTCACATCTATATATTGTTAGTTTTGACTAAAACGTTTCCTGAAACGTGTTGAACCATCCCTCTTTTTGTGATGTAGGGACCAATCTTTGTTCTTTAAATATTCCTTCTGCTGCCATTCTATCCTTTTAAAAGTAATGCCCAGGAAAACATTTACTTACTTAACAGAGATAAACCTGCACATGATGCACTAAAGAACAGCCAAATGACTCAATCTGAATGCAGGTCCAGGGACACTTTTTAAATTGAATGAAATGTACCTGGAGAGTTATTTCTATTAAGGGATTCTTTTATTAAGGGTTGGTTTCTTTTATACTAATATAATCTATTTTGGCTGCTGGTGATCTTTTGAATACAGGATGCATTTGTGTGGGCAGAATGTAACACAGACTGATTTTTTAGAAGAATCTCCTTGATGTTTCCTATATGGTATTAAGTTATTTTGCCTCCAAGTGCCTTTCAGGAAAAAAAACCAGACATTATATACAAGCAACCACCCATGAGATGCATACCCTGGTGAAATGGGACAGAAACAATTCTATATTCTTCTTATCATGCATTTTAAAAATAGTAGCAATTCACTTAACCTGTCTTTATTTTTGCAGGCCTCCGTCTTAGAGAATTTAAGGCTGGCTGTTCGGTCTCAACTCGGATTTACCTCTATTAGGCTTCCAATTGCAGGCCGGTCGAGTAACATCTGGAACCGAATCTTTAATTTTGCAAGATCTCGCCATTCAGGATCCCTGGCACTAGTTTCATCAGACGGAGATGATATCACCAGCCAGAATACTAATAGAGAATCTGAAAGAAACGGCTCTCATCGAAGCCTCTTTTCAGTGGAGTCTGATGATACAGACACGGAAACTGAGCGGAGAGACGCAGCAGGTGCTGTCGGTGGTGTTGCTGCTACTTTGCCCCAGAAGGTCCCTCCTACAACAGCTGTAGAAGCAACAGTAGTCTGTGGGACGCCTTCAGTTCAAAACACGAGCAGTAATGCAGACCATGGGAGAGAAGCGGCAAGCATAGAGCCTCCAAATTCCAGTCCGGGGCGCCATCAGTTCTCAAATGCACTGAGTCGCATGACTCAAGGATTACGTTGGGTACGGTTCACTTTAGGGAGGTCAAGTCCAGCAAATCAGAACCAGAGTCCTTTGAGACAGCTTGATAATGGGGTAGGTGGAGGCAGAGACGAAGATGACGATGTTGAAATGCTAATACCAGTTTCCGATGTAGCATCAGACTTGGATATGAACGACTGTTCGAGACCCTTACTTGATCTCACCTCAGACCAAGGCCAAGGGCTTCGGCAGCCTTGCAGCACGTCCCATAATGGAGTACGGTCCTGTAACCGCGACGGCCCCTGCGAGCGCTGCGGGATAGTACATACTGCCCAGATACCTGACACTTGTTTAGAAGCGACCCTAAAAAATGAAACTAGTGATGATGAGGCATTGCTACTTTGTTAAGTATCGGTTGAATGGGTGGAAATGTATGCAAGTTGGAGCAATAGTGGTGATGTTTTTTGTACTTCATGATTAAGGGAGAAATAGCTTTTTGTTTTGAAAAGAATCCAGGGCAAATCATGTGACTTAACCATTTTATTGTGCATGGCTGAATGAATCTGTCATAAGGGGAACCGAAACAAAAGTTTTCCAAAGTCTGCATACATAATTTATATCTGCTGTCATTTGGTTATTCCTCTGTGATCACTTTCCGGAGGCTTTTCCCACAACTGCTTTCCGCCTAGTTGTTCTTAAAGCTTGTGGGAGGATAGCACTTGCAGATGAGGTGTCTTTGTGACTTGTGAAATCTGTGAGCAACCAGTGAGCTTCATGAGCTTTGCCTGCCTGAAGATTTATATTTTAAGCAATGCAGAGGCATGTAACTGTGGCCAGTTCCTACCATATTTTAAGGATCAAGGTGGGTTCCGGTAATATCGGAAGTGGTCCTCAGTTTCATGATGGTGTAATTCGCAACAAAAACATGGCTGCTCAACCATTTTTGTCTGCCTGTCATTCACTTCCAGATTGCTGGGCTACTTTTGTACAGAATATTTATTCTTTTTTTTTGAAATCAAATCCAGTACACTATTGCCAATATAATTTTAACTGAGTATACTAAAAGGTTATTATAGCTAACCATATTCTTTTTTTTTCCTTTTGTGCTTTATAATATTTTTGTCTAATTACTGAACGGTAAACTTTTTTCAGAGGGAAGAGAGACTTTCTTCAATACGCTATGTTTTTTTTTCTTTTATTCAAACAGGAGTTAACTTAGATAAAAAGATGGCAAAAAATCTTTTGTAGCTTTTATAACATTGACTTTAATAAGTTGGTCTAGTATGTACAACCAAATAAGGTGTAAAAACTCAAAAGTAATTTTTCATCTATCTTTGAAGATAGATCTCTGAAACAGTTAAAATATGCATTGATTCTTGTATATAACGTGTGTTTTTTAAAAGCAGAAATAGGTACGAATAACTCTAGGAAATAGGTTCCACCTGCTAATAGATCGCCTCCCTAATGGGGTTTAAATTTCTTTGGTCTAAAGGGATTTGCACTAAAATTATGTTAAAGGTCTCTTAAAGAGCTTAGTGCACAGGCACTATCACTTTAAATACTAGTCTCTAATACAGCAATGAATATATATAAATATAATATTTCCACGGTTCTGTTCTTGGGTGCTTTTTTTTTGTTTGTTTGTTGCTGCAATTGAATTTGCTTTACTAATTTCCTATTTATTCATTGTATTTAAAAGCTGGTTTACCTGGCATCCGTTTGTGCTTTAAAAGGAAGAATGAATTTGGTATATTTCAAGGTTTTTATTTTTGTTACATCATGTTGTTGATTCAAAAGACACCAGCAGGGGGATAAAAACCATAGTTTCCAGTTTAGTGGCCAGCTGGTGGCGGTTGTTACTGTTAGTGATACCAAGGCATCCATCAATTTGGGAAAAGTCAAGATTGTCAGTTGCTGTTCTATTTATTCTTTGCCTGTCTTCGTAGGCTTAATGATTTAGTATGGAAAAAAAGTATTTGTGTGTGACTGTATGCTATTTATTAAATTTTACATACATTGCTGAATGTCATTTTAAAGCATGTTTAAAGTCTTGTGAGTTTCTTGTTGTGTTATGCTGTCAGAAAAGCTGACAATGTTTTATGATGTATCAAATTAAAAAATATTATCTATTGAGATACTTTTTAAGATGAACATGAAGTTCTATTGTTTTCTATTTCCGTGTTTTTTTAAAAAAACACAAGTAGAAAACATGGTACAAAATCAAATGGAAGTATAATTTTTCATATAACCTAAAAAGTGATATTTTTTACTATTGAAACGTGTTTTCATTTTGGGACAGACTTTCTACTTTCCTCAAAAATATGGGAATATGTCATGTATACAAAGCTTGCATTTATTACTTGCTAGTACATTGAATATAGCTTCTCTGTTTGGCCTAATAGTCTAAAATAGTCTTCCATAAGACCTCCCCTGGCATTTAAATATAATTTGAGGGTAAAACATCAGAATGCTTCATATATTACATCCATATTTCCTAACTTAATATTGACAGCAAACTATATGGAGTCACACTTTTTAAATACTGTATGTGAAACCAAATGAAAGGAATATCTCCAAACTGCATCTCAACTTATTCCCCAGGTTTTGGTTCAAAGCCAACATATAGGTCCTGAAATCAATATAAGCCCTGCTGTTTCAAAGTCAGAATTGCGACCACTTATCTTTGATACTAGAAAACATGGTACTTAAGAAAGAGATGAGATGACCAAGCAGTCATAATATATAAGTGCTGGACCACTCTAACAACCACTATGTCAGACTACACAGAGAATCCACAAGTATGTGGACAATTTCAACAGAAAGGAGGAAACCATGAAAATGAACAAAATCTGGCTACCAATATTTTTAAAAAACTCTAAAATCAGGACAGTAAATAAAGAAACATACTCAGAAAACAGGGGAATTCCAGACAAGAAACAATCAGGACCAGCTAACACCTCCCAACAAAGGATTCCCCTGGGCAGGAAGCAGCCAGGCTATTCAGTGCTAAAGAAGCTGGCCAGTTGTAACATTCACACTTGCTTCCAACAAACAAGAGTTCTTTCTCCCACCCTGGACATTCCACAGATATATAAACCACATTTACCCAGTTTCCAACAGACCTCACAACCTCTGAGGATGCCCGCCGTAGATGTGGGTGAAACATCAGGGGAGAATGTTTCTGGAACATGGCAATACAGCCCAAAGAACTCCCAGTAACTCAGTGATTCCAGCCATGAAAGCCTTTGACAACACAATCATAATATATTTTTTATCATACTTTCTAAATCTTATGAAAGAATGGGTTTAAAATATATCAGTCTCTTTTAAAATGTATCGATCCCACAAATAAGGCAAAGTGAGGATTTGCAAAAATAGAAGACTTCTTGCCATTTCCCATTTTCTTTTTGGAGTGGTCTATAGTGGATTTCATGAAATTAAAATTGTCTTGTGGTTCTCCAGAGCTGCCCACCTCAGTATAGAATAATTTATTGACAAACAGGAGTTATTGGTATTCACTGAGGATGGGGAAGACTGGTTCTAGCATAAAGATCACTAATTCCCAGATTTGAAAGAATATTTTGAAGGACTTTGAATTGGAAAGAAGATTTTGATTACAAAGAAACTGACCAATTCCTCACAGGAAGCAGAGTACACTGCAGATGAAGATTAGACCAGATTAATAAAATGAGCTGCAGTCTGTTCAATGGCATTTCTTGATTCGAAAAAGGCAGAATAAGAAGAACTAATGGAACACGACAGAGTTTCTGAAACGTCCCTGCAGTGGGCAAGTTGTGACATAATGCACTTTGATCTAATGATTACTCTCCTGTTTGATGTGTCCGGGGCCATTATTAAAGCCACAGTTCAACCCTGTTTACTGAGACGTCACGTTTAACTGTGTTAGATTTCATGTTCTAAAGACAGTGGGAATTGCATAAGCTTCATGAATCTAAATGAAATAACATCTTACAATATCTTTCCCCTTTTCAAAGAAGTAGATCGTTTAGAGATTTAGGCTGTGTTCCAATGTTCCCAAAAAGAGTAGTGCAACTTCATTATTCTGTTGTTTGTTGTTGTTGTTGTTGTTGTTGTGTGGCCTCAGGTAATCTGCTTAATGACAACTGTGGGTTTTTCTTGGAAAGATTTGTACAGAGATAGTTTGCCTTTGCCTTTTCTCTGAGCCAGAGAATATGTGTTTTGCTCAAGATCACCCGCTGGATTTCGATTCCCAAATGAGGATTAGAATCCTGGTCTCCAGAGCCATGGTTCAACACTCAAACCAGTACGCCAAACTTTGTATTTTGGTAAAACATCATACAGAATTGATCAAATTTTTAACACAATTGGAGAACATACTGGAGTCATTTTATTTCTATTTCTGCATCTTACATAGAGTGGAGATTTGTCTTTAGTTTTTAGATGCATCCTAGTAGGCTGTTAGGAATTGTGGTAGCTGAAGTCCAAAACACCTAGAAGGCCACAGTTTGCCCATGCCTGCTCTGAGGAGATTTGGGAACTTGAGGGTGTTGCAGTATTGGAGCTGTTAATGGGAGAAAGTAGACTTACACATGTGTTAGCCATCTGGGATTGGAAAACCATGTCCAAAAAATGTTTTGAGAACTTTGGGGCTGCAATGTGAGGCCCAACACGTCACATTTAGCCTACCCTTGTTCTTGAATGGCCATCAAGCCTGTAGAGCTTTTTAAAACCCCAAAATCAGTTAAATTCCCAAATTAAAGTGGTCTTTAATTAACTAGAACCAATGCCCCTTCTACACTGCCATATAATCCAGTTCAAAGCAGATAATCGGGATTTTATATGATCGTGTAGAAGGAGCCTGAGTAACTTCATCACACTAAAGAGTGAATCCACTTTAAATCTGGTCTCTGCCTCCTGCAGAATTCTAGGGTTTGTAGTTTAGTGAGGCTGTTAAAGGCTCCTCCCTAAACTACAAACCCCAGAATTTTGCAGGAGGCAGCAACCGGATTTAAAAATGATTCATTCTCTATTGTGATGAGATCCTAAATCTCCTTAAGTGTAGATATATTTTAAAATGGTAGTTCCTGGCCTCACTTGTTTTTAAAAAAGCTACTGTCAATGGAAGGAATATTAAACTGTTGTGGACATCAATGCATTATTGAACTGTTGGATAAAGTAGTTTTGATTAGATATCAAGAGCTTACATTTTGGGCGATGTTTGCATCATTGACATGATACCACGTTTAAAGAAGTGTTTGTAGTAACCAGACATACATAGAGTGTTAAGGGGATTTTTCTTCAAAAGAGCATGGTCTGCATGGAACTGTTAGAGGAGTTTCAGCACAGTCTGTAAAGCAAAACCCTGCTTTAGAACAAAGTAAAGTATGATTTAATGCATCCCTCCAAGTTATTGAACTGCAACTGTCAGCATTCCTTGGAGAGCCACACAGTTCCTTCTCCTGGTATGGTAAATATAGGATTTCTGCATGGTCTTGAATAAGTCACAGGCTAACATAGACTGCAGATATATTCTGAGATTAACATGATACAAGTCTATGAATACCACCCTGAAGACCTGAGAAGAAGCATGGGATAAGTATATATAACCACCACTTTAAAAAAAACCCATGTTGACTTCAGAAAGAGTCATTGTGATCTATTTTATACATAAATCCATAGTGATTTATTGTGGCTTCTGCTTGAAGAAGTGGGAAAAATAGAATGAAGACAAATTAGAAAGAGTAGATATATTTATGGAGAATGGCACACTATTTACAGTTGCCATATTTTCCACTGTATTGTAGTGAGGTCAGTGTTGGCAATTTTTGTGCCAGAATTGCTGTGTCTTTAAAAGATATGTGACTTCTAGAAATGAGATACATGAAGTTGTTCCCATCTGACTTGTTTTTGATCTATAGTCTTTAGCTGTTAGAGGCTCAGGAAGCCAGCCAGAATATGAACTACTTCCATCAAAAATGAGCATGTGACCTTATGCCAGAGAAATCAAAGTATTTGTCAGTGTATTCAAGAAACTGCAATTTCAGGCAGTCATATAATTAAAACTAATACTTTTGACTTTTGTTCTATGAAAATAAAAACTTAATGTGGAAGTGCCCATTTATGAAGAGGCCCCATTTACATAAAGGGTGCATGCATTTCTGCTTGAAAGTGGAAGTAGACGACTGGAAAACTCCCAAACTCTGGTACTGCTTTATCCCATTTTTAATAGGGATGTCAGCATTCATGTTTTTTTGGTATTCCTTATGGATACCAAGGGCCTGCTGTATGTGTATGTAAATTTGAGGATTATATCTAATTCCTTCATAGCAACTCTTGGAAGAAACCTCATGGGCCATCCGGTCCAACCCCCTGCCAAGAAGCAGGAAAATTGCATTCAAAGCACCCTAACAGATGGCCATCCAACCTCTGTTTAAAAGCCTCTAAAGAAGGAGACTCCACCACAGTTGCCTTCTGATTTCTTGTGAGCAGTCTCCGTTTTGATGAATGGCAGAACCAAGATACAATCTTGACTATTTTGACATCTTCATAATTACATTAAAGCTGTGTAAATCATTTGTAGTCATTTTTTTCTTTATGATCAGCGTTTTCTTCCTTGACTTTCATCAATAGCCCTTCCAAGTCTGCAAGTAATATAGTGCTATATGCATATCTTATTTATATATCTGCTTGTTGAATTTGATTAAATATATACTACTTTTCTTCAGGGATGGAATATAAGACAGCTCACTAAATTTTAAGGTAAGAGTTTAAGTTAAAAAAATTACATTGCAAATGTTAAAGGAATAACTGTATGGAGATCCCAGGAAAAGAAATCTGTGAAAGATAAATTCCTCCCATCAGTTTCGAGCAGTCTAGTCTCTGCAATGCAAGCCAGGTCAGCATGCTTATCTCAGGCCCCATCCGCACTGACCATTAATGCTTTAATGTTTCAAACCAGTATTGAAGAAAGTGGTTTTTGCTTTGAGGACGATTCAATAGGAATGTTAAAATTATACAAGCCACAGAGCAGTAAGGCATTCATGATCTGCTCAGCAGTTTGAAGCTAGTTTCGAACTGCATTAAATGGTCAGTGTAGGCAGGGCCTTAGACTTATCTCCTTAATCAAATGTATTCTCTTCCATGTATGTTCT